ACACAGTACATTCAATGTCAATATGCGTTTTAAGCTTCGTACGATATTTACCTGACTTTCTACTAATTTTTATTAATATCAGCGCAACAGGACTATGATCTTTTGCTGGAAGATGAAGTGGAATTCGTCCAAGCGTTACGCATGCCTGGCAGCGAGAAAAATAGGAAACGCGAAGATAGCCCTCCGCCGCAAGTAAAAGTGTTACAAACTATACAGGAGATGAAGAAGAGTTTGCCGATCTATCCCTTTAGAAATGATCTCATTCAGGCTATCAAGGACCATCAGGTACTTGATAGCAATCTTTGGCAAACTTAATCGAGATCGTTTTAAAACGAGCGTTCTAATCCGATTCAGGTGCTGATAATTGAGGGAGAAACAGGATCAGGAAAAACTACGCAGATTCCTCAATATCTGTACGAAGCTGGATTCGCAGAAAATAATAAAATTATTGGTTGCACACAGCCACGAAGAGTGGCTTCGATGGCTGTCGCTGCTAGGGTCGCTCACGAAATGGCTGTTAAATTAGGGAACGAAGTGGGTTACGCGATTCGTTTTGAAGATTGCACGTCTCATCGTACTCGTATTAAATACATGACCGATGGTACGCTGCACCGTGAATTTCTCAGCGAACCGGATTTGGCTTCTTACAGGTTAAAAAAAGGATTCATTAGAATTTGTCAATTCACCACGTTCAATGCGATGTTAATCTTCGATGACCATTATATCATAATAAATATATGAAAATATATATAGCATGCAATATATGCAATACATGGAATATTTCATGAAATATACACAATAGTACAAAATTGAGCATACACTTCATTGTAAATCGAGTGAAAGTCGGTGAATGTGTCAAATTTAGATTTATGTCAATGTTTCTTAATCAACTTATTTGTAACCACCTGCTTTATAGAAACGATATTATTTTCAGTGTCATGATCATTGACGAAGCACACGAGCGTACTTTGCATACAGACATCTTGTTCGGTTTGGTAAAGGATATAACAAGGTTTCGAACAGATCTGAAACTCCTAATTTCGTCCGCCACGTTAGATGCCACGAAATTCAGCGAATTCTTCGACGATGCGCCGATATTTCGAATACCTGGTCGTCGGTTTCCCGTTGACATTTATTACACCAAAGCACCGGAAGCGGATTACATCGACGCCTGTGTAGTTTCTATTCTTCAAATACACGCTACTCAACCATCTGGCGATATACTGGTGTTCTTAACAGGTCTCTTAATCAATACCTTTATAATTATAAGTATATTGCTACGCGTTCCATAAAAGCAGTATGCCTGATTTATTTTTATTAAAATTTTAAGCAATTTAAAAAATTCCAATTAGGTCAAGACGAGATAGAAACGTGCCAGGAAATGTTGCAAGAAAGAGTAAGGAGATTAGGATCGAAATTAAGGGAACTATTAATTCTACCTATATACGCTAATCTTCCAAGCGATATGCAGGCAAAAATATTTCAACCTACTCCACCTGGAGCGAGAAAGGTATGAAAAATAGATTATTTATTTTTGTTTCGTTAAATATGTAACTTTCGCTGTCTATATTTTTTTACATTTGTAATTTGCTGTCTGTACAGGTAGTTCTTGCCACGAATATAGCGGAAACGTCATTAACGATAGACAATATAGTATACGTGATAGATCCAGGATTCGCGAAACAGAATAATTTTAACTCCCGAACAGGTATGGAAAGTTTAATGGTCGTGCCAATTAGCAAAGCCTCTGCGAATCAGAGAGCAGGCAGAGCTGGAAGAGTTGCTCCAGGAAAGTGTTTCCGATTGTACACAGCTTGGGCATATCAGCACGAACTGGAAGACAATACTGTGCCTGAAATTCAAAGGATTAATCTCGGTATGATTAACATTATTACTAGACTATTGCAGATTTTTGCATTTATGCAGAGTCTAAATATGTAAAATAAAATATTCTTTTTAATGTAAAATCTACAATTGCGCAATATCGTTTGTTTAATCAAGTTATCAAATGATAGGGAACGCTGTGTTAACGCTCAAAGCTCTGGGAATAAACGATTTGGTCCATTTCGACTTTCTGGATCCTCCGCCACACGAAACTTTGGTTTTAGCCTTGGAACAACTGTACGCTTTAGGAGCTTTGAATCATCGTGGAGAATTAACAAAACTGGGACGAAGAATGGCCGAGTTCCCACTAGATCCCATGATGGCAAAGATGTTGCTAGCTAGCGAACAATATCGCTGCTCAGAGGAAGTAGCCACGATAGCTGCCATGTTATCGGTGAACGGAGCTATATTCTACAGGCCTAAGGACAAGATTATCCACGCGGACACGGCTCGAAAGAATTTCCATATACCTGGTGGTGATCATTTGACTTTGTTGAATGTGTATAATCAGTGGAGGCAGAGTGATTTTAGTACTCATTGGTGCTACGAGAATTTTATTCAACATCGGTCGATGAAAAGAGCTAGAGACGTTAGAGAACAGTTAGTTGGACTGATGCAGCGAGTCGAGATGGAGCTTGTGTCCGGGATCACAGAAACAATGAATATCAGGAAAGTGAGTAGAATCAGACGAACGTATATATTTAGTTTAGCCCTTTGGTTGACCATACTTTGCTTTTTGGTTTGTTATGCACAACCTATTTATTGCTATCGTTATTCATTCAGTACAGTCAAATCAGCATCATATAAAGAGTGATGCTAATAAAATGATGGATTTAATTTCAGGCTATCACAGCCGGATATTTCTATCATGTTGCAAGACTGTCGAAAGGGGGTCACTATAAAACTGCAAAACATAATCAAACAGTTTCAATTCATCCTAATAGCTCGTTATTTCAAGAGCTTCCGCGTTGGATTCTGTATCATGAATTAGTTTTCACCACAAAAGAATTTATGCGGCAAGTGAGTCATTAAACACAATTATGAAAGATTAAACATTTTTTTTGTTTTGAACCATTTGATGAAGTTTATAATGTTTCTAACAATTCACATATATATAATTTTATTTAATTTTGTAGGTAACAGAAATTGAGAGCAAGTGGCTTTTAGAAGTAGCTCCTCATTATTACAAACCAAAAGAATTGGAAGATTCTACCAATAAAAAGATGCCCAAAGTAACAGGAAGATCGCGCCCAGATGGAACCAATTAATAGCAAATGTAATTAAATAATTCATATGTAGATCTTAATTTATAATTTATATAAAAATGAACAATTGATTTTTGCAACGCTATTTTTTAAGTGAGGCATAAGTGGAATATCAAATATTACAATTAAGCAGTTTGTACCTCTGTAGCCTATAACTTAACAATCCAAGAGCAATGTACAATACATACATTTGTAATTAATAAATCACTTGAAAAAATAAGCTATACTATTGTAAATGCATTTTATTTTAATAAAGAAAAAATATAAAA